CACAATACCGGTAAAAAACTATTCAACCCTCACACCCATCACTATAGCGTAACGGTGTCTATGACGGGCGCATAAGCCATAGGCCCAACTCCACGTCATTGAATGAATGTGTGATTTGTTGTCATTTTCAGCTTACCGTACATTTCAGTGCATTTCTATTTGCGGACGTCTTATATGGCGAGCCCTCTGTGTATAAACCACAACATGATTGCAATAATCAGTCAATTATTACTTGTTTTTTGAATTAAAACTCATTTCAAACATCAAATAAATTTAGTTTTCAAAGTGTATTAGCAATCAATTAATACAGTAGTGTATGTGCGAGTGATAATTGTGCCAGGTTGTGCCGGGTGACCATCATAATTAACACTGAACAGTTTTCTCAATTCACTATTCATACCATTTATTCACATATTTATAATGGGTTTGTATTTGTAATGTTTGAAAAACACATTTTGTTTAATGAATACAATTATAGTTATAATTAAGGCTTACTATTGAATACACGTTTTATTACACGTCTCTATATATGACTCAAACGAAGCTATTATTCACCAAAAAGTCTAAAGTTTTTGTTTACAAATTAATTAAATATTTAATTTTGACAGTAGTTTACCATTAAGTTTAGTTTAACTATACATAGTCATAATTACATAATTTTATGGTATACTCCCTGTATAATCAAGTGATGAGCAAGGTATAATCAAGGTTAAACAGTGCCGAAATAATAGTGTACTCCAATGGCAGCTATTTGTTATGTATTGTCTAAGACTTGGACATTAAATCACATGATTATATGGGTGTTAATTATATGATTGTATTAATTGATTTCTAATACTATGTTATCAATATCACCTGGATACTTATAGGGGGCGTATTTTCATACTTCCGGTCACTGTTGGGCTCCAAAGAGATGCGAATCCTGATCCTGGGTCTGGACGGCGCCGGAAAGACCACTATATTATACAGACTACAAGTGGGCGAAGTGGTCACCACTATTCCCAGTACTGATCATCGTTTTCTACATTTTTTGCTACCTTTCCCCTCAAACACCCTTTTGTATCCCTTAATTGTGCTTTAAATTAGCTGAGGTTTATCATAGTTAGTAAACACATAAACAGCCTTTCCTTCTACTGGTGTTAATGATTACTGTGTGTTTGTATGGGTTTATATAGTTTACTGCCAATCAATTATTGGTGAATATAATGTTTAGCATGAGATTAGGAGGTCTGAGGGTTATGGGAGTGCTTCCACTAAGACTTTGTTTTAGTTATTCATGTGATTTGAAAACTAATTGTTTGCGTGTTTTTTGTGGACAGCCATTGGTTTCAATGTAGAACAGGTGACGTATAAGAACCTGAAGTTCCAGGTGTGGGATCTGGGCGGACAGACATCCATACGGCCATATTGGCGCTGTTACTTCTCCAACACCGATGCCATCATCTATGTGGTCGACAGCAGCGATAGGGAACGCATCGGTATCTCCAAACAAGAACTCGTATCGATGCTCGAAGTGATTACCATTTCATAAGTTATTTTATAGTTCACTGTGAAGTGTTGTTTTAGTCATCCCTTTCCCTTTATACCTAGCATGAAGTGCCCTTTTGTTACCTTACCTGTGATTATAATGCTGTATCAGTTCCTATGATATACTGTAACCTTAAGACCCCATTCCCTTTTAATCTGTGATTATAGTACTGTTTATATGTGAAAAGTTTGTCTTTAAATTGATTGAACATTAATGACACGA